AAAAAAAAAAAAAAAAAAAAAAAAAAAAAAAAAAAAAAAAAAGGAACAACGGAATCAAACGAGCTGCAATATCACAGCGTCATGAAATTTGAGGAAAAGAAGGCTGATGACTGATTTCCTCAAAACTTTATTGTAATTCACATTGCTTTAGCAGTTAACGTCTTGGTATGTGCATACAATTTATGTTATTGAAATGCTTAATGTTTTCTCCAGATAAATAACTAGATTTTAAAGGAAATTACTGATTTTAAACCGTTTTCAGATCTCTAAGATCATTCAAGAACAGCAAAGAAAAAACAAAATGGCGCATGAAGTCCTGTAAGCATAAAATATAATATTTGCACACAAACGGAGACCTATACTATGCTGTCAGTTACATAAAAAGCATTTTTATAAAATAATCCGCTTTATAAAAATGAGTAAAGGGGCTTTATTAACTGCATGCGCCAATGTAGTAATTTCAAATCAGGAGAATTAAAAAAATAAATGGGCTATTTTTTTTTTTAAATTTAGACCAACTCAACTATAAGGCGTCTAAACTGAACTGTGGTACACTCTGACTAATTAATAGAGTGAATTATGAACAGTCATATCATGTCAATAGGCCTACACATTTACCAAGAGACATTATTTTATCTCCATCTTAATTGTTTAAGCTTAAAGTCTCCTTAAAGTTAAAAGCTGATATAATGTAGGCCTAGGCCTAAGTAACAGTAATGATAATGAAGATTAATTTCACTTTCTGCATTAATTTTAATTTCAACAAAATACCCAAAATTATACATCACCACATAAGTATAAGTCAATATAGTCAAGTGTAGTATAGTTACAGTATGCTGGCTATGATTTAAGCTTGGGTTAGTCTAGTGTAGGCACTGTAGGGGTGGCCAATCTTTTCTGCAAGGGGGCTGAATTTCAGACATATTTCCTGTCGGGCCACACACCTAATTTTTTGTTCTTAATTAAAATAAAAAAGCAAGCGTCCTACAGTTTTGACCACATTGTCGCTTCGCATTAGGGGAGATTGTGGTCAAACGCTTGCCTGGTTTTTTGTAAAAAAAAAAAAAAAACAACAAAAAAAAAGAAGGACAAAATTAATTTTTTTTAAAAAAAAAAAAAAAAAAAAAAAAAATAATTTTTTGTTATTAATTAAAAAAAAAAAGCAAGCGTCCTAAATTTTTGACCACATTGTCGCTTCGCATTAGGGGAGATTGTGGTCAAACGCTTGCCTGGTTTTTTGTAAAAAAAAAAAAAAAAAAAGCAACAAGAAATAGGTAGGCCTATATTTATTTTTTTTGAAGAAAATAAAACATAGCTGAGAATCAAACATATTTATTAGACAATTTAAAAATCTTTAAAATTGAGACATCTGACATTGATTGTTTTGCAGAACTAATAATAATAATAATAAAGTTTATTTTTAAAAATCACGCTTCATCCCCAAAGGCTCAAAGCGTGGTACAAAGTCAACCATATTAAAAGAGAAATGAAACAATCTATATATTACCCGGTATCACATTAAATCACAAAAAGCAACATTACAAAAACTTCAAACGAGTATACCCATTCAGAGTCTTTCATTCCTTTCAACTATAAATGACACAAGCCAATATACATCTAGGAGATAATAGCTAGCTGGAAAAGATGGTAGACAACATCACCCCAGCAGAATTTTGCGAAATAGATGTGTTTTCAAATTGGTTTTGAAGGATTCCAGTGTCTGGCTGTTTCTGTGAGCGACAGGAAGGCTGTTCCAAATTGTTGGGCCAGCACATGCGAAAGTGCGCCTTCCGTAAGTCTCAGGGTGAACACGTGGTATCGAGAGTTTGCCACTATCCGATGAGCGGAGTTGTCTAGTGGGTACATAAGGCGCCATGAGCGCTTTGAGATAGGACGACGCCAGGTCATGCAAGCAGCGGTGGCACAGAGTTGTAATTTTGCACTCTATGCGAGCACGGACTGGCAGCCAATGCAGCTCTCTCAGACGTGTTATAGCATGGTCGAATTTGCATTACGAAGAACAATGCGATCTGCATTATTCTGTGCTTTTTGCATTTTATCCAGGAGCGTAACTGGAAGACCCACCATAAGAGCATTGCAGTAGTCCATGCGTGATAGCAGGAATGCAGACATCAGCCTCTTTGATGCATCAAACTTCAGAAAGGTCTGATATGACTAATTCTGCGCAGCTCTAGAAAAATCGCCTTGCAAAGCATGTTAATGGGATTTTCCATAGTTAGTGTTCTAAGAAACACCAACGTTTCGGACTGTTTGAGCAAACTCAAACTGCACACCTGAGAGAGTAAGGGATTGTGTGTTATTTACAGATTTTAGCTTTTGAGCAGTAGCAAAGGGGATCAGCTCAGTCTTTTCATCGTTCAATTTGAGCTTGTTCATTGTCATCCAGTGCTTAACTGACTCCACTGTCTTCTGCGTCATACTAAGAAGCTGAGGGAACTGAGAGGGGATCACGGATTGCTGAAGTTGGGTATCAAACATGTGATATAGCATGTCAAACTGCTTGATCACTGCACCGAGGGGTTGAACATACATAGTGAAAAGCACCGGGCCTAGGACCCAGCCCTGGGGTACTCTGAATTCGATAATATATTGCCTCGAGATCAGGCCATTTGCACAAGACGACAGAAGGTCATTTACGACGCGCAACAATGCTGTCCCTGTAGCGTGATGCGTCCTGTATGCTGACTGAAAAGGCTCAAACAAGTCACACACAGAGTGAGGTGATCGAGAAGCTGGCGGAACGACTTTTTCTAAAATTTTGGATACAAATGGTAGATTAGAGACGGGGCGATAATTTTCCAACACATTTGGTTTGAGATTTGCCTTCTTTAGCAGTGGAGTTACAACCGCCTTTTTAAAAGTGGATGGAACAATACCAGTTTTCAAAGACTGATTTATGATACTAGTTATGATAGGGACTATTTCGTTCAAACATTCGTACAACAGCCCTGCCGGAAGAGGATCGAGCAAACATGACTTTCTTGGGGAGTCAACCAGAATTTTCTTCACATGCGATTCAGTGACCTCCAAAAATTCACTCTACTAAAATCTAAGGGAATAAAAATTGATATCGACAGATGTTGTCACTACACGCAAACAAATTTCCAAATGAACATCAATAATTTGTGTTCTCACTTGTGATTTGATGTGCTTTATAAAAATAAAAAGCTGTTCACACGGATAAGTGTTTCCAAATAGTGAAACCATTGACAGAGCATGTTTTTGTAAAACGCAGGATATTTATCCTTGTCCAAATAGGTTTTATAGAACTCTTCCAAACCAACTTGATGGAATTTCTCCTTTAACTGTGTATCCCAACACATTTCACAATGTTCCATTTGTAATCTTCCCGGTAATAAATTGATATCTACCACGAATGGTGTTCCATTTGCACAAAAAAGCACATGGTGTTTTTTTTTTAAATCCTGAAATCGGTTTTCAAATTCGAGGTTTAAGTCAGATATCAAAGAAGCGTATTTATCCGCCACCTCTTTGTCTTCAAACTCTGGGATACTCATTGACATGCTTACAAAGAATGATTGTGTTTCTTGCTGCTAATCTAACCCTCTTTTTCAACATTTTGGCCTGGCTGAGCCATCTTAATTCTGCATAAAATTTAACATCATTATAATCTCAGACCAAAGACTTAAAATTCTGGGAACTGACGTTGATTCAACCTGTTTGAATTAGATCACAATGTTGACGACCACTTTCATGATATTGTCCATTTCGCGGGACTTCGAACATAAATTCTCCTGGTGAATAATGCAATGAAAATGTAGCATTGATGTATTACCGACTTTGGAGGTCTCATTTTTCTATCAATTTGACTAAACCTTCGTGTTTCCCAAACATTGCTAGGGCACCATCCGTTGCTAAGCCCAATAATTTAAGTTGTAACGAAAAGCAACTCAATGTCCATGTAACGGCCTCTAACAAATCTTGTGACTTAGTAGTGTCCTTAAATGGATACAGTGGCGCTAATTCTTCGGTCTTTTTAAATGGGGATCGGCACCTCTGATAAAAGTTGCCAGTTGGGTAGTATCTGCCATATCTGTCCTTTCATTCAATGCTAGAGCATAAAATATAAACTCGGATGCTTAGACTTTTCAAATTATCTTCCATATGTTTTCCAATGTCGTCCACACACTCAGTAATAGTCTGAGGAGACTTGACTTATGTTTTAGAAACCCTCCTTTACTGAACACAGAATTTCAACAACGCTCTCCAGACATTCCTTAATAGACACTTCACCAGACCTGTTTACTCTTACGATTTTGGCGTACAATGTACGATTTTGAGGTGTATACATTATATATACTGTATGTGTATTTTACTGTAAGATAATGAATTGAAAGATTTTGTGAATATATTTTACGATTTTAAAAGTTTGAGGGTAAACAGGTGTGCTTCACCATCTGAATATAGCTTCGATTTTTTTGCTAGTATCATGGCTACTGCATAACTAGCTTTTACATAGCATGTTGACTCTGTACCTCTCTAGTAAACAAATTTTTTTGTTGTGATTTTTTTGTTTTTTTTAAAAGTCATTTCTTTGGTCTTGTCGAAATTGCCTTTTGTACTTATCAAACTTATTTGCATGTATAGACTCGTATTTCCGTTTGATGTTATACTCTTTCAAAACAGAAATAGATTTGTTGCATATGAAGCATATGGGCTTTGTTTTAAGTTCCACGAAAAAAAATAGGTTATAGTTCACCTGTCTTGAAAACTTCTTAATTTTTAAAATAGCTCAAAACCAATGAATTTTTTTTTTTAATGGGAGATAATTCAAATTTCTCTTTGCTATAATTTAAAAATATTTGCAACAAACGACTCATGATGTAATGTTCTTTTGCTGATATGTACAGTAAAGTTGACATTTATGATAATTTGACCTAGCTCCGCAGGCTACATTTTATTGGTGATAATATTTGTTACAAATTTATTTATTTTTAAATGCGCACCAAATCTGAACTTGTCAGACTGTTACAATATGGTCTGTGTAGCTGGTATCCTATTCTGCTTCAATCATCAGAAAGTATATCCATTTTTGATCAGAATGCTTTTATATTTTAAAAATATTCCACTTAGTGACCAAGTTACACACATTTTTGTAACGTTAATGTCAACCAAAGAAAACAATTTCTTTGCATATGTAATATACACAAATGTCAACACATTATTTACAAAATATTTTACTTTGGTTAAAATTTCTTTCTGTGTGGTCCTTTCTGAAGCACTCATTAACACACAGATGAGGCTTTCTTGTGCATCTGATGGACACATAGCAGCAGTGTTTCGTTATTTTGTGCACTGAACAGTACGTACACTGTCAATCATGCCCGTCTAAGTCAACCAAGTGCTTATTTTCACTGAGACGCTCGTCTGCTTTAATAGGGTGGGCAATAGGGGAATAAGTGTTTCAAGGTTCTGGGCTTTAGAAACTATTCTTCCTGCATCTATTCTGTCTAATTTCCGACTTCTCTTTGCAGGAACAGGATTAGTATTATCTGAATCCTCACTGTCGCCATAGAAAAAAAGTGGTTTGGAAAAATTCATAACATTTGAACCACTTGAGCTAGAAAGTTGATCTTGGTTTTTTATAATCCATTCTCTAGGCTCTATACAGCTGTGGTATTTTTAGAATTATTTTGAATTTTTTATCAAAGTGCCAACTGTCTATCATCATTTTATTTCCATTTGGCATTTACCGACCCATTACAAAGCTGAAAATCATCACACTGGAATCAGATTCAAATGATTCATGGTTATTGTCCAAATGTTTCAGCATCAATAATTGGCAATAAAAGCTCTGTTTGCAAATTTGAAGGCATACATGATCTAGCAACAGCTGAAGTGCTTGGAGTAGGTGTGGCCATTATTTTGTTTACAAGAGTGACAACACAAGTTTAACTCATTCCCTCCGGCAGTACTACTTCCGTACTTAATTTATTTTCCTGAGAAAAGGGAAGCAACTCAGTTTTGAAATTGATTTACATTTTTAAAATATTTTTTAAGCTGTTAAATAATAATAAATGTTAATGAAATAAGGACGAATGCATAAAAAATGAAAAAGGTTTAATAAAAATATAACGTTAGCGGCGAAAAAATAATGAACAATGGCCCCGGACAAACACATGCTACATATAGATGTGTTGTTCTAAAGCACACATAGTTTTTAAGTGAAACAAGATAAAAACTGCCGGTTTTTAAATTAAAATCAAGCAGAAATCATGCCATAGCAGAAGTCTGGAGGGACGCGAGATTTCATTGCCATTTTCAACTAAAAAATAAGAGAGGTGTGTCGCTGGGGTGCATTTGGACGCATCAGGAGAAACCCCCAAACGATGCATTTAGTTGCAACCGTCGGGAATAAGTTTTTAAAAAAAAGGTCGCAATTATTGGAAAAACAATTGTAAACTAAACATCTTTCTAACAGGAAGGAAGTAGGAAGAGTTATCGCTTGAGAACATAAAAAGTAGGATTGATAGCCATAGGCAATGAAATAAAGTATCTAAATTAAATCGACTGTATTAGTATATTATTACTATATCTTCGATTGTCACAAATGCAACCAGTCAAATTACTGATATATCGTGGATTGGCACGGAAAGAGTAAATGCAAGTTTTTGTTTTCTTATTTTCTACTTTTGAGAGTGGGGGAGGGGTCTCCCAGCAAATCGTTCATGTCTTATTTGGTATTTAAAGTGGGGTGGGGTTTACTTAAGTACCGTTATTTTAAAAAAATTGCTGTTTCTGGTTTAGCTGTAAGTCCGGCAGTATTTTATGCAAGTTGTTGTTTTCTTATTTTCTATTTTAGAGGGTGGGGGGGGGTGTGTGGATGTGTCTGTGTGTTCTGAAGTGTGGTCTCCCCTCCCCAAAAGATCACTTTGTTTCCTATTTTGGTATTGAAAATTGGAAGGAAAATTTTGATGAAATGACCCATGCAATGATAGAAATCATTAGGTACTTATCAGATTTGGAAAACCTGACTTAAGCATTATAGAGTTACAGTGACAATTTACATATTTCAATAATTCATCTAGTTTGAGTCCAGGGCTGCCAATCGATAAACATCACATTACTAAAATAGTTTATTTGTTTTTTTGTTTTTTTTTTCAGATTTATTGAGGACAGTCCTGGGCCTCTATACAGTCAATTAGTTCTTATTGAAGACCTACTACAATTAAAAGGCCATCAACATTTCTGATAATTTTAGGAGAAAGTTCTTTTCTTCATTTGGAGTTAAAAGAATTCATAATTAGTTCCGAAATGGAATTTAATTTACCTCCTCCTCAGTTAGATAAAAGTGGAGTAGTATTTAAACAGTGGAATAACTTTCTTCAAAGGTTTCACTATCATAGAAACACTTATCAAGACTCTTGTTTAGAATCAGCATCTATCTTGCTGTTTGCTGCTCGTCTTCAGAAGAGCACAATCTATGAATCAATGAAAATTATAGACATCGATCTACCAAAGTTAAATAAGATTCTGGATGTCATTGAACAAATTTGTCTACCCCAATTTATCCTCCTGTTTGAGAGATTTCGATATTTTACTTTAGAGCAAGATGCTTCAGAGACATTGAATGACTTTATCCATGTACTAAGAAAACAAGTTGAACTTTGTGAATTTGATGATCTTAAACTCAAAGATAGTATCATGACCAGCGCTTTAGTCAATGGTGTCATTGATGAAAATTTCAAACAAAATCTACAAAATTCAGGTGGCTTGTGCTTCGATGACGCAGTAACCATGTGCAGTGGTGCAGCTTCGAACAAAGCCATGTCACTGGGTGATCTTAATTCACTGGTGTCAAGGACAAGAAAAGTTCAAAGACAAAGAAAAGCCACTCAACCCCATTTTAAAAAAAACATGTACATGATGCCTGTCTATGACAGCATGAACGAAGATGCAGATGCCGATGACCACATTGTGGAGACAGTTTTTGAAGGCGTGAAAAAGAGTAGAGTCAAAAAGAAAACTTCAAGCACACCTAAGAACATACCAAAGCAGTTCTTATGTTTTAATTGTGATAATGAATACGCTACAAGGAAGTCATTTAGGCGTCATATTGCTAACAAGCATGGAGAACACAAATCATTTTATTGTAAGCATTGTAAGATCACTTTTAACACAAGAACTGAGTGTATAACCCATTGCAAAGGACACTCTACTACCCCTTCTACTGTTGGACTGCCAGGCACATGGAAGAAAACTGATGGAACTGATTATGTTTGTTGGTATTGTGATGAAACATTCCCTAACCTTCCAGAGTACAAGGTCCATTGTGCCACCCATTTAGCAGTTAGAGTATTCCACTGTGATCTCTGTCAAAAGAAAAATCATAACATAACTCGAATGATTGGCCACTTGAAGGGTCATCTGGTACCAAGACATAAATGCGAAATATGCGGTAATTGCTTTGGAAGGGGAGAGTTGTTGGCTGCTCACCTTCAAACCCATATTGAGAAACCAGTACACCAATGTCAGGTATGTGGGAAAAGCTTTGTAAGTGCAGATCGTCTTACTTGCCACATGAGATGCCATTCAGGAGAGAAAAGATTTACATGCGAGCTCTGTGGTAAGTCATTTTCACAGAAAATGAGCTTTGACTATCACAAACGTTGGCATGCTGGTGAGAAGCCATATGAATGTGACATTTGTGGAAGGCGAACCATTTCCTTCGGGGATCTTAGAAAACACAAAAGAATGCACAGCGATAGGCGTCCTTATGTGTGTGAAGTCTGTGGGAAAAGTTTTAGGTTTATATCAAATCTCAACAGGCATCGCCAAGGGCACAGTGGCAAGAGATCCCACGTGTGCAGCGTATGTGGAAGAACTTTTATTTATGGTGAGGGTCTTCGAGACCACATCAAGGCAGGGAGATGCCCTGGCAGCAAGAAAGAAGGTGGAGCAAAACCCTCTAGGGCTCCAAGGGTCAGAGGACCTTCAGTGCCAAACTCCCAAGTGATGCCCATGATGGAAAATGTAAATCCTCCAACTTTTACAAATCCACACCAGCCACCTGAAAATCTTCAGAGTGACTTTGCACCTTGGCAGTATATGATTAGGAATCAAGAAGCTGAGGGTCCAAGCAGCTTTGTATTGGTTCCCCCTTTTTATTAATATTGCCTAAAATTGTTTTACTTCTGCTTATTACATTTAAAAAAAAGAAATTATCTACCTTTTTTGCAATATATTGTTTCATGCAAATGTCAAATATATTTTCATTAAGTTTTAAAGTATAAGTTGGTCAGTTTCCTAGTATTTAACACTAGCTAGTTTTACAAGTGAAGATATTTTCAAATTTGGCTCTGTACTTCTAAAACATGGGATCTTAACCTTTTTTTTGTCCCATAGCCCGGTTTGCAGCTCATAGATCCCAATAACTATATTTGGACCACAGGTTAAACATATCTGTTCCAAATAGACATGATTTCTATTAAATCAGGGTTTCCTAACCAGGGGCATTAGCTGGTATTTCAAAGAAAAGTCAATTAAATAACAGAGGAACCACTGAATTTTAAGTTAGGAAATGAAAACTTTTATATATTGGTAAAATTTATGATGATTCACTTACAAAAAATACAGACATATTGATACTTTTTTGTAAGGGTCAAATACTTTGTTGAACATTTTGTTGGGGGTGGGAGACTTAATCAACAATTTTTAGGGGGTGCCTATTAAAGAAAAGGTTGGGAAACTACGATTTTTAATAATATTTAATTTACCAGAATTAAATATGGTTTTAATTTTAGCATGTGTAATCCTGTGATAAAAGTGTCATTGATATCAAGCTCAGGAAAAATTTAAACATGGCCAAACACATTTAAAAAAAAAATGATCATCTATTGTTGGTAAGAAACTAGGTAAGAGAAATTCTAAATTATTTGCCAGAAAATAAGATTTTTTTATATAGTCAATGAGTTGCCTTATAACTATTGCTATTAACAAATGTACATAGTGGCCATGCAAAACTTTTTCCTTCTACAGCTTTTATATTGCATCTTAGTCACAAAGATATTGTCTGAGAGATGTACCTTACATTGGGATTGAAAGTTATGAAACAAATTATATAAAGGTATTATCTCCCAGGCTAGATCTTATTAAAACTTCTATACTATTGTAAAGTGATCAATAACTTTGATGTGTATACAAATATAGTTTTTAACTTTTCTTAGCCCTGATAGGTTTTCTTTTTCTCCTAAAATTGTATATAGGCCTTGTGCCTTTATTTCCTTTGTTTTAACTCATGAACATACCAATAATGTAAAAAAAAAAAGAAGTGCTTATTAATATTATGTTGGGTGTAATTAACATTCAGTTCAATGAAATGATTGTATAGTATAACACTAAAAGATTTCATTCTGTGAAAATTTAGAACAAAACAAAGGCACCCTGATATAATTCTTTACGCTATAACGGGAATTGAGATATACTGAATGTGACATGGCTGTCAAATTTCATAAATTCATTTGCACACTTCAACATTTACAGATACATTTATTCTCATACAACACAGTCACACATCCACAAAAACTAGTCCAACGTCAGCACCAGATAGTTCACTTACCACCAGAGTTAAATAAATTAATCCTTAAAAAACACACTATTACCTTTCTTCCTTCCTTTTTAAATCTCCAACACTACTTTCACAGATTTTTTTTAAAACCCTGCATTATCTCTATCCGATTTTTATGGGCCACAAATATTGTGATATGGCAAGGTTTCATTGTACCATTTGTGGTATTTAATTTGCTAAGTGAGTTTACAGTAGCAGAATAGCTATTTGGGAGAAATACTAGACACAAGGGGTTTGATTATGTAGCCCAATTGAGGGGCTAAGTCATATCGGTTAAAATCAGAATATAATCTGCTATCGTTTCCTTAAAATACACATTTTGATTTTTAAAAATAAACCTAAAGAAGCTATGAAACAAACAGGCTGGATGTTCGTATTTTATTTTTTTGCTCCTTAAATGTAAAACTGGCAACTTGTTTGAAATGTACCCTACCTTGAAATTCAAGGGAGTATTTCATTCTAAGAAATGTGGTCTTATACTTTTTATATTGCTTGAATGTCAATTATTTCATTCATTATGTACAAAAATGTTATTCTCATTTAATTAATATTTTACTACTATTTAAATAAATATTTATGTTTGAATGTTTCTTCCATTAATTTTAAATATTCACAAATTATTCAAGCTAAATATGTATTTCTTGTGAAAAAAAAAACTATTAAAAAAAAACAACAAATAAAATCAATATTTTTAGCATTTCATAGCCTGCTTATTTAAAAAAAGCATCCATATATCATATACTGTGTTATTGTCTAGTTGTATATATGTGAAATGTCTTTTTCAGAAACCACTCAGAATCATATATCCATATTTATTTGTAACTTTTTTTTCAGATTTAAGATTCTAAATAAATATTTTGATTTTATGCTCACTATAATGAATTTTCATCTGATTATCAATTGAGGAAATCTGAATTTTGTTAACATAAAGTAAATTTGATGAGCCCAAAAATCTTTAGGCTCTTACAAATTCAAATTTAACTATAGTTAGTGTCTCGAATCATTTTAATGTTACTTTTCCAAAATAGATAATGTTTCCTTGTTGGGATATTTTTCTGTGCACTCACAAAGTAATGTTATAAAACTAATATGCATTTTAACTTGTCTGTACATTTAAAGAGAGAGCTAGGTTCCCATTTTCTCAGGCCAAATCTGTTTGTATGCTGGTGTCAATTTCATGGCTCATTTTAAATTCTATAAAACTTAGTGCTTTTTTTCTCAAGATAATCTTGGTTACTTGAGAGTAGAAAAAGATGGTCAATGGGAGTCTGGAAGAGATATATTTATATAATGTGATCAGCTTTTGAGTGTGCAACTCAAATATTTGGGATGAATAAGACTTTCGATTTAAAGGATTGTGTGATTTTTTTTTTTTACATTTTAAAAATTGTTGTACAGTGTACATAAATATATATAATATATAATATAAACTATTAAATTAAAAGGTAAAACAAAACAATTTCTAAAAATAAGTACCCACTTTTTGCATTAATTGAAGAGGAAAAGGGGGGAATTATTTACTAGACACTGCTGAACTGTCACCATCTTTTTCAAAAAGCAAGAATACGATTCATTTTTTTTTTTTTTTGGACAGATTAAAAGCGTTTGAAAGAATTATATGAATATCAAACATTGTCTATTTAAAGTTAATCAAATGTTGGTAATAAAAGGAAAATAAATCGGAGCAGGGAAAAACAATTTTTATGAGGTGTCATTTAATAAAAACTGATAGGCATATTTTATGATGAAATAACATCAGAAATGTCTATGTTTAATGAACTGAACTGATTGAGCTTTGAATTCAATTATTTTTGTTTTTCTGTGTTTGTCACATTTATTTGGATTTATTCTAACTTTAAGTTATATGCTTTAAAAAAATGTTGTTTTTTTTTTACATATTTGTTCTTAAGTCAACCCTTATACAATTATGTGAACTAAGAAGTAATATATTATTTTATAGCAAGGTTTCCCAACCTTTTATATATTCTTCACCCCCTACAAAATTTTTAATTACCGGTACCATATTGCAATTCACTACAAAAAGTAACAATGCCTTTTAAAATTTGTAAGATAATGCACCTTTATAAAAATGATTGAAATCGCATAGTACTGATAATGCAGGACTTAACAAAAATAATACGTAAACTGGGGACTTATTCCATAAAGTAAAATGTTATTGAAAACATTGACTAATAAATAAATCTTTATTTTTAAAACTTTCAAATGTCCCTGAGGTTGCTAGCATCCCGGTTTGGGAAACCCTGTTTTAGGGGTTATTGTTACTAATTTGGATCACAATGTTTTTATCTTTTATTAATATTTTTGATGACATCAAAAAAAAAAATTATTGTTAAGATGGTAATTTGATTTTTTAATTTTTTTTTATGCATTGCTTCTTCCTGTCACAACTGCCACAGGTGTTAAGATCATTGACATAGTTTCATTGTATCATTATTAAGTGGAAATTGCTTGCTGGGGAGGGGGCAGGGTGGAATGTGTATTAAGAGACTTCTAACAATGCTTTACATATTATAAAAATGTTTGTAAAAACTTCAAATTTAAACCTGTGTTACCATAATAAAATAATCAAGGGATGTAACACAATTTAAGATGTAGTCAGGTAGTTAATCCCCCTAATTAACAACTTTCAGCTATTGGTTGCTCTTTGATCATAACTGCATGCGCATTTACATTCTTATGTAGGGTGCTCACTGGAGAGTAGCATTTCATTCAGTTTTGGAACAGGATGTTTCCATTGAATCCTCCACTCAGTTTCACAAGTTATGTTTTCACTATATCATTGAATTGTAGGAATCTTTTCTTTCCTTAAGGCTGCTGTGATTAACACAGAAGTCCCAGGGTCACTAACATACATCTCTCCATGAAACAAAGGGCTAATTCTTCCCCCAACCTAAGATGAACTTGTGGTGTTATGAACTTTTGATTTCATGAAACCCCCCCCCCAACTGTAACTTAAATGAGCCAAATAAACTTAGTTACTGTAACTTCAGTGTTGGTTTGTTTTTCTTTCTCTAAATGTTACTCTACTGCTCCATTTTTCTCAGATGGTTTGACTTAAAAAATTGCCAGCATGTGGGTCAGGAGTTCCTCACGCTTACTTTGGTCCATCTTGAGTAAAGTCATGATTAGGTTTACATTGACAGTTTTAAACATCTTTCATATCAGAGGCAGCCTGAGAAAACATAATAAAGAACTTTGTTCAAACATCAGTAGTGAACCAATGTGTAACACACAAAACGGCTCATATGTGGTGTGTCTGTTATTTACTTATAAATTTTTTTTTTGTTAAGTTCAACAAGGGTGGGGGGGGGGGGTTGTAAATTCCAAATGTCCTCTGCTTTCTTTAAGTTTTTCCCTTTTTTTGTAATTTCCCTTATACCAACTTATGCTCATTGCCATGAGGAATCCAGGGCTAGACATTAACTGTGAAAGAGATACTTCTGCATAACTGAATGGTTTAGGATTATATTTTATGCAGGATATATTTTTTTTTAATTGATATTTTTCTTCTTTCTCCTGCATCTATCATTTATTTACACATAAGGCATGGAGATTGTAATTTTTTTTTTTTTTTT